GTCATATTTCAAAAACCTCTACTCCACAAAACTGGAAAACCTAAAAGAAATGGACAATTTTCTGGATAGGTACCACATACATAAGTTAAATCAAAACCAGATAAACTATTTAAATAGTCCAATAACCCCTAAGGAAATAGAAACAGTCATTAAAAGTCTCCGAACCAAAAAAAGCCCAGGACCAGATGGTTTCAGCACAGAATTCTACCAGCTCTTCAAAGAAGAGTTAATACAAATACTTTCTAAATTGTTCTACACAATAGAAACAGAAGGAACATTACCAAACTCCTTCTATGAGGCTACAATTACCCTGATTCCTAAACCAAACAAGGGTACAAAAAAGAAAGAGAACTACAGACCGATCTCCCTCAGGAACACTGATGCAAAAATACTCAATAAAATACTGGCAAACAGACTCCAAAAATACATCAAAACAATTATCCACCATCATCAAGTAGGCTTCATCCCAGGGATGCAAGTGTGGTTCAACATACTCAAGTCCATCAATGTAATACACCATACAAACAAACTCAAAGAAAAAACCACATGATCATCTCACTAGATGTAGAAAAGGCATGTGACAAAATCCAATACCTCTTCATGATAAAAGTCTTGGAGCGATCAGGAATACAGGGAACATACCTAAACATAATAAAGACAATTTACAGCAAGCAAAAAGCCAACATCAAATTAAATGGAGAGAAACTCAAAGCAATTCCACTAAAATCAGGAATGAATGAAGGCTGCCCACTCTCCCATTCTTATTCAATATAGTACTGGAAGTTCTAGCCAGAGCAATAAGACAACATAAGGAGATTAAGGGGATATAAATTGAAAAGGAAGAAGTCAAGCTTTCCCTATTTGCAGATGACATGATAGTATACTTGAGCGACCCCAAAGATTCCACCAAGGAACTGATAAAGCTTATAAACACCTTCAACAACATAGCAGGATACAAGATTAACTCAAAAAATATCAATGGATGAAGAAGCTGAGAAGGAAATCAGAGTTACATCACCCTATATAATAGCCACAAATAATATAAAATACCTTGAGGTAACACTAACCAAGCAAGTGAAGACCTATATTAAGAGAATTTTAAGTCCCTGAAAAAAGAAATTGAAGATGTTACAAAATGGAAAGATCTCCCATGCTCATAGATAGGCAGAACCAACATAGTAAAAATGGTAATTTTACCAAAAGCAATCTACAGATTCAATGCAATCCCCATCAAAATACCAACACAATTCTTCACAGACGTGGAAAGAATAATACTCAAGTTCATATGAAAAAAAAACAAAAAATCCCGGATAGCCAAAAGAATCCCGTACATTAAACAACCTCTGGAGGCATCAGGATTCCTTACTTCAAGCTCTACTATAAAGCTACAGTAATAAAAACCAGCTTGGTATTGGCATAAAAACTGACATGTGGACCAATGGAATCGAATTGAAGACCCTGACATTAATCTGCACACCTATGAACATACAATTTTTGAAAAAGATGCCAAAAGTGTACAATGGAAAAAAAGGCATCTTCAACAAATGGTGGTGGCGTAACTGGATATCAATGTGCAGAAGGCTGTGAATAGATCCATATCTGTCACCGTGCACAAAACTTAAGTCCAAGTGGATCAAAGACCTCAACATAAATCCAGTTACTCTGAACCTGCTAGAAGAGAAAGTAGGAAGTACTCTTGAACGCATTGGCATAGGAGATCACTTCCTAAATATAACACTAGTAGCACAGACACTGAGAGAAACAGGACCCCAAGAAAGACACAGTGATCGCCCAGGGACAGAGAAATGGATGAGATCTACATGAACAACTTGGACATGAGTGAGAGTAATAAAGGGCAAGGTTCGAGGGAAAGAGAGCTTAGGGGAGCAGGAGATCCCAGCTGGATCAAGAACAGAGAAGGTGAACAAGGAATAAAAGACCCTGGTAAATGAAGACCACATGAGAATAGAAAGAGGCAAAGTGCTAGAGAGGCCCACAGAAATCCACAAAGATACCTCCACAATAGACTACTAGCAATGGTTGAGAGACAGCCTGAACTGACCTACTCTGTTGATACGATGGCCAAAAACCCTAATTGCTGTGCTAGAAACCACATCCAGTGACTGAGGGAACCGGATGCAGAGATCCATGGCCAGGCCCCAGGTGGAGTTCCAGGAGTCCAATAGGTGAGAAAGAGGAGGGGTTGTATTACAGAGAATTGTTGAGACCAAGGTTGGAAAAAACACAGGGACAAATAGCCAAACGAATGGAAACACATGAACTATGAACAAATAGCTGAGGAGCCCCCAACTGGATCAGGCCCTCTGGATAAGTGAGACAGTTGATAGCTTGATCTGTTTAGGAGGAACCCAGGCAGTGGAACCGGGACCTGTCCTCATGGCATGAGCTGGCTGTTTGAAACCAGGGGCTTATACAGGGACACTTGCCTCAGCCTGGGAGGAGGGGGCTGGACCTGCCTGGACTGAATCTACCAGGTTGAACTGAATCCTCAGGGGAGTTTTGCCCTGGAGGAGATGGGAATGGGAGGTGGGTTGGCGGGAATGTAGGGGGTAGAGGCAGGAAGGGGGAGAGCATGGAATCCGTGGCTGAGATGTAAAATTAAATTAAATTATAAAATAAAAAAGATCCAAATCCCATATTGGTACATACATAATCATTTATTAATAATGATGTTAAAATCATAAATAAAGGATAATTTATAACAGCTTAAGCCACTTGCAATAGCTTAATAGTTAAAAAGAAGAAATTACTCAAGATGAAATTTGTGAAGTTTGTCCAGCATTGCCACTGGTCAGAAGACACATTTAATGGTTAATAGAGAACACAGCATGCATATTTTGTTTCTAAGAATTTATTTATTTATTTACTTAACTAATTCATTAATTTTACATCATCATAGCAGTCTTCCCTCCCTCCTCTCATGCCACTCCATTTCCCCTTCCCCTGAACCCTGCCTCCATCCTCTCTTCCTCCATATTAACTCAGAAAGATGCAGGCCTCCCATGAGCACAAGCAAATCATGGTATATCAAGTTACCATAAGACTAAACACCTTCCCTTGCATTCATTGCTTTTGGCCATCTAGCACGAAGAATAAGTTATTAATAGCCAGACAAAGCACTGGGGACAGCGTGTGCTCCCATTGACAGGAATCCCAGGAATAGACCAAGCTACATACTTGTCACCTATAATCAGAGGCCCCAAATCAGTTCCATGCAGCTGAGCATATATTTTTTTAGGAATGGAAGAAGACTGATAAGAAACACTACTGTCATGGCCATGTATATATACTACCTTGTATTGGCCTGAATGTTCTTCTTATTATATAATTGAAATAATTGACTTCTATACATCACACTGATATTAATATTTATAGAAGTTTTAAGTTCATAGCTGTACACTGCAACATGAAAAGAGACTACAGTACACCCCTGAACTTTCAGCATTGTCTGATTGGATTAATATGTTAGATGGATATTTTTGTGATAAAAATGCAGGCAATTCTTTAAACAGAATAAAAGATTATACACATATGATTGGAATTGTTGGGAGTGGATAACACTAGTGTTAATGTTAATCTTAAAGTGTCTTGGGGGATTTAAGAAAAAATACAACTCATCAGGAGTTCAGAGAGCTGACCTGGTAGGGGGGATACAATTCCTGTTTCCTAGTGTTCCAACGTAAAGACAAATCAGCCTCCAAGCACTAGATCCAGTTTCTGGCAAGGATGAATGGATACTCTTTACTGTGTGCATGGGGACATTGAAGGACAAGCTCCTAAGAAGTTTACAATTCAGAGGACAATACTTGTGCAGTGATGTGCAACAGATGGGTTTTAAAACAACTCTCAGTATTTTGAAAACCAGGTGTCATTATCACTTATATTAACTCAGAGCAGAGTGAGTGGGGAATCCTATCCATGTAGGTGATCTAGGGTTTTGAGGTCTACAACTCAGTTATCTGATGGTGGGTCATGTTTCTCTGGATTTATTCTGATTTATGAGATCTTGTCTTTATGTCATTTAAAAACTCACTTGATTTTCTGGTGAGGTCAATTACCTTGAATATTGTGATTGCCTTTGACTTTTGGACTCTGCCTAGAGGAGTGCACCTGGAGACAATATCTGTGATATTCCTTTTGAAAAATACTGTTCTTGGTTCCATGATCTCTGTGACCAGCAGGTGAGCTTAGGGGAAAAATCCAGTGCCTGAGACATGGGTTTTGAGTCTGTGACCTCCTACCCTCTGTCCTGTAATTTTCTCCTGCAGTAGTAATGGGTTCACAGGGCTGTAGAGTAATTTTTCTGAGCAATGTTTTCTTCATGACCACAGTCAAAAATGGAACAAGTTCCTTGACATCATGGGTGAGAACTCCTGAAAACTGCAATCTCGAAGCACTCAATAGGATGTGTAGAAAGCCATATTCTACCCCATCTAGGCAGCTAGACACCTGAGGCTATTCTCCCCTAATGCTTTTCTGCTTCTATGTAACTGGAGAGAGGTGCTTGTGAAAAGTGCTTGCTTTTGCCTTCCCAGACAAGGGAATTTCTTTTTCTCCTGAGTACAGTGGACCCCTTATGTCCTCTTGAGGAGACTGTTTCAACTCAGAAGAAACTGAAATACAACAAAGGTGGCTGGGCTCCCCTGTGGGTGAATAGCTGATGACAATGAATATGTATTTTCCAAAATTCATCTATATTTATGTAGGGAAAGATAGGACCCAAAAATCACGTCCCTGGTGCTTGTTTAGATGTTGAAAGTCCCAGTTTTATATAGCCACAGTGCAGGTAACAACAGCAGCATATTAGCATGAGATCTTGACTTGGGAAAGCAGCACTGTAGTATTCCTTTCCACTGTAGGTACTCTATGCAGGGGTCAGGGAGTTAGGTCAGAAAGTTTATTGACAAGAACAATCCTGATTTGTCCATAAAACCCCCAGAGAGCTGGGTGGTGGTGGCACATGCTTTTAATCCCAGCACTTGGGAGGCAGAGGCAGGTGGATCTTTGTGAGTTTGAGGCCAGCCTGGTCCACAGAGTGAGATCCAGAAACTACACAGAGAAACCCTGTCTTGAAAAACAAAACAAAACAACAACA